GGAAAGTGGACTCCTCAGCATGTTCCCCGACAAAAATCCAGACCATGGGTGGAGATCCTTCCTAAGAGCTGTATAGTGTGCAGTTCATTTGAGCTTACGGAAGACAACAAGCTAATGCCATCAACAAGAAAATTTCTCAAGGAAAGATATGTTGCTTTGAGGACAATTCAATCTTGAGTTTTTTCCTTTACGCCATTCCTTTCTGAAATTGGGCTTAGTTATTTGTGTAAAATTACATAGAGTGTCGTGACACATGCGTAGTAACGTTGCTTTAGAACACGCATGTACTGGAATTGCGGTTTAATGACTTGTGTGTTGCTCAGTGGCCTCTGCCTATGTGGAGTTTACAATTAATTCTCTATAAGTTACAGAGTCGAGTTAAGTTCAAAGCTAGGTATTCTTTTTGCTTTGACACTGTTCAGCAAGATGTGGTAAATGAATCCACCTACATCGATGAAGTCTTTTATCGATCGAGTCGTATCCAGTTGCCACTCTGTGAGGAAAATATATTTATTTATGGATGTTTATTTAGCAATCGATTTCAACCCGAGTCTCTCATCTCGAGGCCGTAGGTAGGACATATATATAGATATATAAGAAACCAAAATTTTTTTCCCTCGATGTCGAATTTTCTAAGCCACCGTGTATTGAAACTACTGAAATGTAGCATGGATTTATTGTAACTTAACTCTCCATCCATAAGGCCTCAAGGGCTTTCATTACAGGGTAGGGTAAATGCAAGATAAAAATAAGAAATTTTTTATTAGTTGTAATTTTTACATATGTTTTTGAGATGGTTCAAAGGAATGGCAGTATAACAGTTTATATTTTCCTCTTTTAAAGTGGAATCAAATTGTTTGTGTGATAGATCTCAAAATTTTATGTCATTGGATTTATTATATTTTTTCATTTCATTTATCTGATCATGCAATAAAGGGACGTGACTTGAACTGTTTATTGTATTTCTTACTTCCTTAACAGATGAGTATAACTACCACATTTATGAAGATGTGCCATTTGATAGTTTAATTATTGTAAATCAAAGAGTGATTGAGGATCACTGACCAAATGTTGTGGAATTTTTTATTGACTGGTTTTTAGTAAGATTGCTAAATGGCTGTATTGTGATTGTGTAAATGTGATTGCAGAATTTCTGTGACATCCAGTGGTTGAGTGGTTGCAGAATTTCTGCGACAGCTTGTGACTGAGTCATCACAGAATTTCTGCGACACCCAGTGGTTAAGTGGTTGCATAATTTCTGCAACAAGTTTTGAGTGAGGGGTCGCAGAATTTCTGCGACAGCTTGAGACTGAGTGATCGCAGAATTTCTGCGACATCCAGTGCTTGAGTGGTCGCAGAATTTCTGTGACAGCTTGTGACTAGGTGATCGCAGAATTTCTGCGACATCCAGTGCTTGAGTGGTTGCAGAATTTCTGCGACAGCTTGTGACTGGGTGATTGCAGAATTTCTGCGACATCCAGTGCTTGAGGGGTCGCAGAATTTCTGCGACAGCTTGTGACTGGGTGATCGCAGAATTTCTGCGACAACATGGTACTGAGTGAATGCAGAATTTCTGTGACATCTAGTGACTGAGTGGTTGCAGAATTTCTGCGACATCTAGTGGCTGAGTGGTCGCAGAATTTCTGTGACATCTAGTGACTGAGTGGTTGCAGAATTCCTATAATATCCATTTCCTGAGTGGTTGCAGATTACCTCTGCATCTTTCCATGGTTGACTCTTAACACATTGTTTTTTACAGACATGCTCAATCTTGCAGGAGAAAATAAGATTTTTTAATCTTTCTAAGATTTTATCCGCGAAATTTGATTAATTTTGCTAGTTTTCCTAAACGTGCAGAGGAAAACTATTGATTTATCAAAAAATAGGCTATTTTGGAAAACACAAAATAGTTTGGAAAGCGTTGTGTTTACATCGTGCGCTGGAAGATAAAACTGTGGGCTCAGTAAATGCTGGTACATTTACAGCGTGCGGTGGAGATGTCACGTTTTGGAAACTGAAAAAATTCTGATATTTCACCGACAACCATATTACCGTTATTATTAGGATATCTAAAGAAACGTAGGGATTGTGTATTTTTTTTTCAACCTCGAGCTTTGCGTCAAACTTCGCTTGCTTTCGAGAGCTATAATTATATACAGCACGTTATCTGGCTTTATTACATCCTCATCATCCGCTTCTGCCGCATAATCATCACGCACAGTTAAACCTTTAACTCCTGTGATCTAACTGTTAATTCTCCCCTCTAGCTGTTACATATTTCATTTCAAAGTAGATACAGAAATTTGGTGTTATCTACCTGATAAAACTTTGAGTATTCTGATTATTTGTTTGCTGGATAACGTAATGATATTACAGGGACAACTGAGTTACAAGTTATATCACTTCTAGGAGTTTAAGGCTTAGGGAAATTGCATCGCGTGCAGACTATTAAACCACGAGTTAAATAAGAGAAACCATTGAAATGTCTTCACATCTGATAACAATAAACCGGGAAAATTCGACTGAAATTAAATTTGATTGTTGTCAGCCGCAAGAAAAATAAGATTGCGATCTTTCATTATAAATAACATGAACTCTATAGCTCTAATCAGTTGCAGAATGAAAACTGATTTGTACCTGCTAAGCTGTTATCCTCTGAATCTCTCTATTCTCCAAACGATGTCATTTGTTAATTCTACATGCCTGAAAATATCAAGAATAATATTTTGCTTTACAACAATTTCGACGAAAAAATGAAGGTAACATATTCACGAGTTTGAAAGATCTAACCTCCTCTAATGCCCAGTTTCGTGATCAAATTGTTGTTCTTCTTTAAGAAAGTTTTTGCGCCTGTTTTTTTGTTTGTTTTTTTAAAATTCTTTTTATGGTTATTACTTGTTTACATGTTTCTCCATGGCGATTAATTAATTCTGTGATTTAAATTTAGCTCGTTTTCTTTTAGAGCAAAACACTCGCAATCCGCAAAACCCCTTTTCTCCTCAGAGCAGGACATGTTACGCTCTGCCATAACTGAATCGATAAGGATGAATTCACACCGTGAGTTATATCTCTAGTGATCAACTCGATATATCCCTCGTTCAATATGATACACATTTGTTTTTGGTCATCTTCCCATTAGCGTTACAGTTCTCTCAAATTTTCATTTTCCGATTTCACCGTGACAACTTCATAAAGTTTCTAAAAATAATAACGGTAAGCTTTTTTCTTGTAAATAACTCCCGCCAATTCTGCACTTAATATTTTTGCAGTCAAAAGCGTAGGCGTCCAGTGAAATCACCAGAGGGAGATAAGCTAAAGAAAGAGAAAAGCTAAAGGAATCACATCAATAAAATGTATTCTTTATGTATACTTTCTTTCCAATTTTCTTGTCTTCCGCTAATAATATGCTACATATTTCTTCATTATCTTTCCTCACCTGAAGGGTACTTGCAATAAATTAACTCCAACAACGTTCTTTTTCAAGAAAAATACTTGACTTCTCGTGGTATCTAGAGAAAAGCATATTTAAATCGTTTCGCGTGCTATGAAGAATTGAAGCGAATACCATAAGTACTCTTCTTAAAGAAATATCCGAGGAAGATATTAAAAAATATTTTAAATCTATGTACTCCACGTATCTTTGTGTACGGAAACCCTCAGTGTATCTTAAAGGAATTTTACGAATAAATTGTTACTGCACCAGTTTTCTTTAAGTTGGAAGAGAAATCTGAGGCCCTAGCTCTCTGTCTCTTTGAGCTCCAGAATTGTCTGCTGAGTTTGGATGCAGTAAGCGAGACCATAAACAAATGTATTATAGTTCATGCAGGCAAGTGACACACTTGATACTGGAATCAGAAATGCTGCAGATTCATAGATCCCTCATGAGAAGATAAATGAGCTACCTCAAGGTCTGGTATGTTTATCTACAAGTCAGCATTGATATCTAATCTGTCGTTTAACCTGATCTAGCGGGTAGGGTTTTTTTTTTCGGTCGCGATTAAAAATGATTTTTTCCTTTGTCACGAAAGAGCTTAAAATTTATTTCCCGTCATTATGCATTCGACATTGATGATCTTTGCAGTATGCAGGATGATCCTTTATGTATCCATTGTATGTCATGGCTCATTAACGAGAAATATATAGCTATGTGGGTGAACTTCAGATCGCAAAATCCGATGGTCTAAGATTCGATCCTGCGTTCGTGACGAGTAAACAAGATCAATATTTCTTTCATTCTTTTGTCTCATATTTCGAATTATTACTATTTGTATCTTTAGTCAATAACCGTTTATCTCATTCACTGCATTAGGTCTCTATTAACTTATTCTGTCCTCACCTTAACTCCTGTGAAAATGTGATTTGCCCCACAAGTGTGTAACAAAACGGTGCACTTGGTAACACCAGCGGTATTAAAGAAGCTGAATATGAGCTCACCGAACTCGAAACAGAAAATCGTGTATCATTGTTTATTTCGTGATCCATGATTCTATTTTGTAGCTATGCTGTTTCACTATTTATACGTCAAGTTTGAACAGGGCCTCATACTACATTTTTTAACTTTTCATTTTCATTAATCCGGAGTTCCTTTGTCTTTAAGTCCATATTAGAAACCATGGCCAAACTATAGGCTTTGCGCATGCGCCGCGAATCAAAGCGAATCAAAGCGGAAAAAAAAAACCAAAACAAAAAACTCGCTCTTGAACTTACAGTACGCACGTGGAACTCGGGTGAGTAAGAGATGTGGGTTATTCACTTATTATATAACGAAAACTAACGAGACCTCATGTGTTACCTAGGTTTTTTTTGCATCACAAAAGAAACACAAACCGAACGCATAGTGAAGGAAATTCCCTTATTAATGATAAGGGCGACTTGTCGGCTTAGAAACTTCACAAGTTTTGTTGGAAAAGTTGACCAATTGAGCTGTAATTTACGTCACTAACTCAGTTGATAATAATAAATTAACTACAGTGGAAAGTCAGTTTAGTAAGACAGGAGAATGAATGAAGCATCTTTAATAATATCAAAGTCATTCCAAATGTTACAGAAATTTGACAACCTGTCAGAAGGCCATCCATGGTTTTATTGCTCAGTGACTGAGAAATGTGTTCTTCCAAGGTCTTTTTCTCCGTGTATCACTGGCATTCATTTCAGTGAACGTAAAACCAAGCTCTTCACAAACAAGTGTTGCTGTTGTGGTTTTACCAACTCCTGGGGAACCGCACAGAAGAGCTGCCTTTAAGGACGACCCATCTTGGTCTTTGTTGAAAAAGAAAGCTGTGCAAAATAAAAATGTTTAAAACTGTGATTCCATTACTAACATACTAACTGCATGTATAAGTGACTGTCGAGTGAAATAAATTCATCAAAGTTCATAAGTTACAGCTGTTTAAAAAAATGTATCTCTGAATGTGGGAATTAGGAAACATGTATTTATGTCATCAGTAAGTTGTACAAATGCACTTGGATGCACACAAGTAGGATACATGTAGGATGCTCACTGGTGAGGAAATTTAAGGCATTCAGCTGAAGTGTGAATTAAATTTACTGTGAAGTCATGCTCTTGTGCTAATTGTTGGAAAGGTTTGAAACACCCACCTTTCAGTGCAGGTGATGATGATAGTGTTTGTGTTGTTGGAGATGACACAGATCTTTCACTCAGTTGTGACAAATCCCCTTCAAACTGATCTTTTCTCTGGCTGAGAGACTCCACTGGTTTAGCTTCCTCCTTCTTCTTTGTCTTCTTCTTCACACTTGGTGGTTCATAGCTGGTCTTATTGCCTGGTTTTGTTCTGACAAGCTCAAACAGACCGTCTTCATCTATTTGTGATGTTCCACATTGCCTTAGCCTTAACAAAGAAACCATAGTTTCCTTGTCCAGTAATGTTTAGCTGTTCAATGAAGTAGAGACAACCTTAAATCAGTTAAAGGGTCTCTAAACAAAGCAATGTTTAATGACCTCCTCAGCAAGAAATAAAAGCTTATGCCCATGAACAAGAACAGCTCTTTCAGAAGCCAACAAACTTGCAAAAGAAATAATTAATTTCTTCCCTAACTTGTAAATTTTTCAGTTCTTGTTAGTTTGCTACACAGACTTATGAATTGTTCATTAATTGAGTTAATTTATGCAAATTTGTGGCAAGTTTCCCTAGTATTTTTGCAGAAAGCCACAGCCCAGATTTGTTACAAAAATTTAAGGAAAAAGGTGCAACCTATATGTTGGTGTTCATGTTTTTGTTTTTTTTTTTCCTTTTTTGATCTGTGTATTACAATGTACCTTTAAAAGTTTATGCTCTCCAGGATCCCGTCCCACAACGACATAACTTGTTTTCTTGCTCACTGATTGGGTAACTTTTCTACCATATCTTTGAATCAAATCAGTGGCCTCCTCCCTCTCATTACTTTCCAAGACTCCTGTAATAACAAATGTCAGTCCATCCAAACAGTTTTCTGCTCCCTAAAAATTAAATTATCAAGTGCGTGCATGATTCAAGATATGCAGACGAATAATTAATTCTTCCCTTGAAGACCTGCTAATACTGTCCAAACTGAAAAGTTATAAATGGTGAAAAATGAAAAAAACTCTGTAGATACACCATAAACATTTCAGATCAATGTCAGCATCTGTGCACCTACCCCTCCCCTAACCCAACAACTGTCAACTGCTTACAAGTGAGGGTTAATGTTGGATTAAGGGAGGGGTAGGTGGGCAGTTTCTTAGACACTTACATTGAACCAACATTTGAACAACAACTGAGAGTAAAAGGATAAAATACATTTTTTTGTTTAACCCTTTAACTCCCATGAGTGACCAAGACAGAACTTCTCCTTACAATATCAATACAATATCATGCAGACAAGTGATGAGAATAAATACAAATATCAACCAGGGGATTATTAGTTGATCCAAGACCAAATTCTCCAAACTAACATTACAAGAATTGTATGACAGACAGTAAGGAGAATAACTAATGACATCTCGGAGGTAAAAGGATTAATCAGAGCATGCATTTTACAATTTTTTCATGTAAACTGTATCTGCAGATTTTCCAAATAAGCCTTAATTCTAATAATCTTCATTTTGCTTTGTCTTGCATCTCTCATTAAAATTTGAAAGGATGGAAAACAAACCATAAAGAGCTTGAGAGATAATAATAATTTAACTACCAGAAGAAATTAATATGTAACTTCTCCTGAGAATATCCATAGATTATCCAGCAAACATGTAATGAGGATACTAAAACTTATCAAGTACATGTAGTTGTTATAATTATCTAACAACAAACTCTCATTAATTTACAGAGAAATGTGTAGAGCTAGAGGGGAGAAATAACAATCAGATCTTGGTCTTTGAAACCTACCTGAGGGATTTCCTTTGAACCAAGTGTCCTAGGATTATCTCTTGCCATAAAACCATGGTAGCCAAATTTTTTCTTTTCCAATGAGGGTGGAACTTCAACCATTTCCTCTGATTTTGACACCTTTTGGTGTTCGTTGGGTTGGAGTTTCCTAACTAAGATCTTTTTTTCCTTTTTTGGAGTAACAGTTTTCTTTAGACTTGGTTTTGAGTCTCCAACTGGAGTTTCTGGAACTGTAGCAGCTTTGGCAGCCAGTTTGCTAAAAAGAGTTGTCTTTGGTACTTCCTGAAAAGTTCATGGATACAATTTGAAGTGAATAAAAGTAACATGTATATCAAACATTCTAACAGAAAAGAGTTGTCCTCACAAGGCAAGAGTTGTCTCAAATAGGAATGTTGATAGTGACAGACACTGCTGCTTTGAAAAATGGAGACAAAGTGGCAGCATCTTCCTGGATTGTCAAAGTTAAAATCACCAAGAATGTACCTAAAAGTTTTGTCACCACAGTTACTGTTTAGTGCAAATTCTAGGTACAGTAATGGTAGTACTGACTTTGAGTGGTTATAGTACTGAAAGTAATGTTTTGTTGCAAGTATTGTTAGCAATGTGCATCTGACTAAAAACCATCTAATTTCATAGTAGGCAGTTAACAAGTTTGAGAAAGCTTTTGGATCTCATACAAAACCAAATTTAGTCATAAAATGTTACTGTTTCATCTT